CCGTTTTGGTCGGCCAATGTGCTGGAGATAATCCTGCATCTACATTCTGAGACGCCAGACCTTGAAATCAAACTCGGCAGTAGAGCTGACCGAATTGCCTGGTTTATTGATACCCTGAACTATGCAATGCCCCGAGCAACCTCACTATCGGTCATGAATAACAGTACCATGCGCGCTGGCGACCTGACTGGGCTGCTGGAGATCATCAACAAAACTGTCCCTAGCAAACGGTCACTGGGGTTTGAGCTGGACCTGCAGGGCCAGCATCCTTTCCTCACCATGTCTGGCCCACCAGTGCTGACTAATATCTCGATCGCAGCGCGCAACTGGACTGACGCGCACATTGGGTTTGTTCGCTACCACTGCGACACCTTGCGGACGCTGACCGTGCATAACATTACAACATGGTCGTTTGAACAGCTGCTGGTCGACGGCGAGCGATCCAATATAGTCTATCCTAACCTAATGGTTCTGGATGCAGAACTACGCCTCTCAATGCAGGCACCGTCGCTGAACCTTCAGCGCACACCCTTTCCTGCATTACGTTGCCTCCGGAACAAGGGGTTCTACCCGTTCAACAGCGACATCGCCCTGTACACTGGCCACCCGTCAACACTCGAGTATGTACGGCTGCCGCTGGATACAGTTTTGTTCAATACCCTGTCCGCAAGCAATGCGTTCAAATCCCGCAAGTACCCGGTGCTGCGCACCGCTGAGGTTTTCTTCAACAACAGCCCGTTTGTAGTTGCTGAGGCTGTGCAAGGGTGGTCGATGTTTGCCACTATTTTCGAGATTGCCGAGGCCGCAAAGGTGTTCCGGTGCAATATCCGCGTCAACCGCTCGGCACCCGTGCTTATCAACATGCGGCCAAGCTTTTCACTTGAGCACCTTTACATGCCATGGTTCGGTATCGATCTGGCTGGGTTTCCGCTGCTCTGCCTAAAGTTCCCGAAACTTCGCTCTGTTGCCTGCACGTTAATTGACGCCATTGACGGTATCTCGGAAGATATGCCCAGAGACGAAAGCATCCAAGCCGCGTTGTCTACGAAGCGCATCCGCTCAAAGCTTGCCACCCTGGAGATCTTTGGTGAAACCTGGGTACGCAACTACAGGCGCTTTGCACAATACGTGGTGCTGCTGGTGGCGCTGTTGCCGTCGGTGAAGGAGCTTGTATACTGGCCGTATGCATCTGAGGAAGCCCCTGAAGCCAAGAGGCAACTCACAGCCGCATTGAACCGCACGGCATACCGCGACATGTATCATGTCAAGAACCTCAAAGTGGATATCAAAACGCACTATACATATCTGGAAGACGTATACCGCAAACAATTCCCCCTTCAATAGTTGATGTAGCTGATGATTAATAGAGGCAGATACGATGCCAATACCCACTGCGTGGGCATTTCGGCTGCATGGGCATTTTGTGGTAAAGATGATTAAAATATACTCTTGATAAAAACAGAACCGAGATGCTGTTGCTGTTGCTGTTGCTGGTTCACTTTTGTTACATAGGGTGGTCGGACTCATTACCAGCATTGGAAGCCCCGTTCTCTTGCTCTTGCTGGTCCTTGAGCAGCGCTGCATACTCCATATCTGCAAACTCGATCCAGGGATTCGGCATGCTCGCCAAAAAGTCGATACGCATACGAATGACGTCGTCAAACGACGACGCCGGTAGAGCGCGTGCTGAGATCTGGGCAAGCTGGCGCTGCAGAAAGGATGTGCGGCTTTCGTGCTCCAGGAACCTCGTCAAGTTGGTGAACGCATCAATGAAAACCGGGATCTGGGTCGGCGGGACCTTGCGCAAATCTTTGAGCGTGAACATGCCCTCGCGCTCAGGTCTGACCATATCCGAGAGCTGGCATACCAAGTCATCCAGCATTATCAGGTCGCCTGCCATCTCCTCCTCCATGCGGCAAACCTGTTCGTCGTAGAAATACTCGAGCTCATACGCCGTCAAAACGCCATCGCCGTCTAGATCCAGGCACCGGAACCAGTATTCGAGCGCTGCCGGCGTGGTCTTGTCAATCTCCGACAACAGGAACCAGATAAAGTCTTTGAATGTCATCCGGCAGTCTGACAGCCGTACGTTAAGATCGTACCGCAGCGGACCTTTGGACAGGCGCTTCTCCTGGCGTGCCTTGGCTGCCCGCGCAGATTCCCTGCGACTAGACTTGTACTCAAACGGCTTGCCCTTGCCCATCATGATACGGGAGATTATGCGCCGCGAGAGCGTTCCTGTGAAATAGCATAGCAAATCCCGCGCATCCAGCAGCTGGTCGCGGTTCGAATCGAGCTCAAAGAAGCTGCAGTATAGTACGTAAAAGTGCTTGTACGAGAAAACGCCTGGCGAATCAACCCCCACATCGATTCCGTCCTCGACACCGCGCAGCATCCCAACCACATTGGCCTTGCGGAACTGTGGCAGTGTGATTTTGCTGTCCCACGACCGATTGGTCACATAAAATATCCGCTCAACCACGGTCTCTGTATATCTCTGCGAGAACAGACCCTCACCTTCAAGGAATTCGAGCTCAGGGTGGTGATCCAAGACGTCGGTGACCAGGGGCCTGATGTCGTCACGGTTCAAAGATGCACGTGGAGCTGTCGCATCCTCGACCAGAATATTGAACAGCATTGCGTGTACATCTGCGCTTGTGCGCCTCAGCCGGGTCCACACATCACTGAAGTGCGCAAACGATGGCCATGTACCGCGGTCTGCCGGACGTATACGCTTTCCAGTGACTCTGCTGCCAGACGTGGGCGATGCTGACTGATCGGGGCACTGTCTGGTCACATACCGAAATAGCGCCCGATTGGCAAACTGGGGTAACCCGCATATCTCAGTGACCTTTACAAAGTCGGCTTCTCGTGCTCCAAAGCAGCTGGCAAAATAGGGCTGCACCTGTTGCAGCTGCAGCTTTAGTGCATGCTCGATATCGCCGTCGACCCGCGGATTCAGAGGTGATACATGCAGCTGGGGGATCGTGCTCTTTTGCTTACGGGCCACTAGCATCTGCTTGTTGTGCTCAATTTTGGATGTTGCAGGGAGGTCACTCAATGAGCTGCTTCCACGGCGCGCTGGTGTGACACCTGTGTCGCTGGCTTCATCAGCAGAAACTTGGCTGAGGGAGCTGCATAGCTGTGGGGTTGTAACTGGCGCTGCTTTCTTACCCGCCTCGCCTTGCGGCAAAGGCGACAACGCGTCATTATCACCTTCGCCTTGCTGCTGCGGTCGCCGTGGCGTTGGAGAATCAAGGTCCAGGTGAAACAGCAGCGACTGGCTCACCTGCGACATGGTTGGGCTCTCATCATCGTCCGAGTTGAGCTCTAGCTTTTCATCCAGCGCCAGCGATGCGCCCTTTGTCCGCATGCGCGACAATGTTGGTGACTCCAGTTCACCCCTGTCGCCGACTGGTTTTCGAGACTCAGTCGGAGAGAGTGGCGACGAGGGTGGGTAATTTATGCGCAAGCCAGAGGATGTAGGTGAGAATGGGAATGGTGTGTCCTGCGTCAGGTCGCTGCGGAATGCACGCTTCCTATTGCTGACCACTGGGCTTAGCGGCGGTAGCGTCTCTGAACTGCCGCTCTGTATAATACGGGCCCGCTTACTTAACGGGCTGGCGAGTGTACCAGCACTGCTGGCCTCTGATGACGGCAGCGATGCAACCATGATGTTGCTGCTACCGCTCTTCATAGGTGAATTCTGCAGTCTGAGTCGCGAGGAAATTATGGAATTTGACCGTGGCGACTTTAAATGAGGCGACCACCGCGGGTTCAGGCATAGTTCATCGGCCTGCACTATCGGCGACGATAGTGACTGGCCCTTCCCTTGTGTCGCTGTGCTCTTTCTTCGCGGCGTTGTCATGGCCAAGGCATTTTCAGCAGTAGTCGAACCCATTGCAAGTAGCGTGAATGTCTTGGTTGCAAGCAGACAGCCTGGAGAAATACGTATTGCGCGGCTTGACAGAATAGAAGGAAAATGGCCTATAGCAGGATGAACGGCACAAAGAGGAGCAGAGCAGAACAAAGAGGTGCGCAGGATGCTCCGGGGCTGTTAGCGAAAAAAAATCGACAGCACTGGAGCCAAATCACGCCGATTGTTGACGAAAAGGCTGATCAAGAAACATGATTGGCTGCCTCCGATCAGCTCCAAGCAGCGGCAGGAGGGGACGCAGCAGCAGACTGCCCGCTCCTCCTGCAATCCGTGCATTCAAAACCAGCAGCACAATCCGATATCGAGGGGCATTCCGATATCGAGGGGCATTTAGGATACGCCAACAAACTTCTTTATTTAGCTGGACTGGATGAGCTGCTGCAGCTTGGTATCAAATAGCTCGGACCTCACTGGCATCTCGAGGCTGTGGAACGGGTTCTTGAGTGCGTAGTCGCTGTACAGACCGTACATCTTGGACAGCACATCGTTGAGCTGCAGGTATGAAGGGTCGGTGACTGCAATGAACTTTATGCCAGTCGCTGTCTGGTAGCAGTGGATGCGGAAGCTGCTCGTGTCAATTGTCTGGATCCCGGTGTCTTTGCTGCCATCAGACCGCGACGCCGGCGAGATGCGCGACGCAAGCGCGTGGATGCCATGGAAGGTGCCTGCCAGGATCAGTGCCTCATTCGACGAGAGCTTTACCGTGTTGGTTGAGTAGTCCCGGTTGTATATCAGGCCGCCTGCCTTGTTAATGATGAACACTGAGTGAATCGGCATCGAGATATGTGCGAAGAAGTGACGATGAAGGGATGGCTGCTGGTCAACAGCAGACACGTGACCCAACTATCGCCAAAGATCTCTCCCTCATCTCACAATTACATAGTATGGTGACCAGCGGAGGCAGGCAAAATTCCCTACCTATGGCGCGCAATAAATGGCACAGCACATAGCGCTATTGTGTATATATTGGAAACGAGAAGGTGAGGGAAGATACTATGAAAAGGAGGAGAAAACAGGCAAGCCAGACACGGGCAGCTTTGCCGATGCGCACAGTTGCTCCAATTTACTCCTGCTGGACATACTTGTCCTTAATGTCCTCCCACTTTGTGCCAGCGGTCTTCTTGTTCCAGTAGCTGTCAAAGTAGGTGTTGAAGCCGATCGAGAACAGGACGCCGCTGCCCACGATGGTGGCAAAGTAGGTCGACTCCTTCTTGAAGAAGTTGCGGTAAACGACCGAGCTGAGCGACTTGGTGAATCCAGAGACCATTGTGGCGAGCTTTCTAATTAAATCCTTTCGGTCTGAGACACGGGCAAATGCGAGAAAACAAAACGACGAATCGTCAAAGAGACAAGGGTGGAGAGGTGTTGGAATTAGGAAGAGAGGATACTGCCGCTGGTCGCAAATTCGAATTGCGACACACGCCCCTCGCCACAAACCCGCCATATCTCTGGATCTTTATCTGCCTGAGCTCGATCGCAATTACATCTGGGGATCACCGGATCTAGTGCGTCCATTCTCTGGCCAATCCTGGTTTCCCACCGGTTCTACTGCCTTTGTCCCGGCAAGTAAGGCGTGGCCGAGCTCTTGCAGGCCATGCCGAGGGCACACCATCGGGGCGGGCATTGTGCTCCTGCTCCTTCTCTCCTCCTGACCCTTCGTGGTTTCTATACTTCCTCTCTTATTCACCTCTGCTATAGACCCTCGTCGCGCGCCTTTCCCCGTTACACGCTTTTAAAAACAAAATAAAATGGCTCCCGATTCGACAGTTGCTGTGGCAGATGAGGTCCAGAAGACCGTTTCGGTCAAAAAGCCCCGCCCGAGCAGACCTGACTTTGACCAGCACAAGAAGGAACTGGCAGCGCTTGATGCGAAAATCGACCAGCTGCGCAAGGAACAGGTAACATACCGCGAAGCATATGCCCACATTCGGCGCTGAGACTCGTGTGCACAGCCTTGTGTACTAGTATACTCATGGCTGCCCCCTTTGTGTACATGCTCTGTAGGACGGCATCAAGAACGAGCTGCTCAAGACCGATACACGCAAGGGCCCCTTGGCTGACAAGCGCAACAAACTGCTGTCGCGCTTGCAGGCGATCCAGCGGGAGCAGGGCGAGCTGCGCAAGTCGCGGGGGAAGGTATTTGACAAGCAGGCGTCACTGACCACCTCGATCAGCCGGAAGGTATCTGACCTAAAGACGCTGAAGGCCAAGTCCACGTTCAAGACAGTGTCGGAGATCGACGAGAAGATTGCCAAGAACGAGAAGCGGATTGATTCGGGCAAACTCAAGATCATCGATGAGCGGCGCCTGGCCAGCGAGAACGCACAGCTGCGCCGTGCCCGCAAGGCTGTGGAGCAGTGCGAGGACGCGCAAAGCACCATTGAGAAGGAGAAGGCGGAGCTGGCGGTCGTCGATGCACAGCTGGCGGACACAAACGCGCAGCAGCTGGCTGATGAGTACGCGCAGCTGCAAGCCGAGCTGGACCAGATCAAGGCGACCCAGGACCAAGGGTGGGAGAAGCGCTCAGGGCTTCTTGACGAGCGCACCCGCCTGCAGAAGGCCATTGACGCTGCCTGGGACGATAAGCGCGCGCTGCAGGAGGAGCACCGCAAGCAGAACAACGACTTCTACAAGTGGCAGCAGGAGGACCGCAAGCGCCGTGCCGAGGAGGAGAAGCAGCGCCGCATCCAGGAGCAGCGTGAGAAGCGTCTGGCCCTTGCCCAAGAGCAGCGTGAAGAGGCCGAGATCCCAGCCTTCCAGGACGAGATCAATGGCTGCGATTCGCTGATCCAGTACCTGAGCAGCTTCCAGATCAAGTCTGCTAGCAATGCGGGCTCGCGGTCCGAGGACAACACCCGGCCGTCATCGGCTGCAAGCAACCAGCGCGAGGTTGACTCCAACGATCATGTGCCAGCTGGCATGGTTGCCATCAAGAAGAGCTCGAACGAGGAGTCGTACTTTGCCGGCGCAGCCAAGCACAAGAAGAAGGCAGGCAAGAAAACTGCCAGCAAGAGCGATGCGCTCAAAATCCCGCTGGCTGTTGCTGAGCGCTTCCTGGAGCTCAAGGTTGATCTGCCCATCAACATGGCTGCTATCCCGATTGCCCTTGACAAGCTAGCTGACCGGAAGCAGTTCTTTATCAGCAACCAGAACAAGGTTACCGAGGAGAACAAGAAGAAGGCCGAGGAAAAGATCGCCAAGCTCATGGCTGAGCTGGATGCGGACGAGAAGATCGCCCATGAATCTAGTTAAACACCAGCAACATTTCGGAACCGCTTTTTAGTCACATGGCTACTTTTGTCCTTACCAAACACGTCAAGTTAATCGTATTCGGTGTGTTGTGTTGGCTAAATGTGGGATTTTGAATAGGTGATACTTAATATTAAAGAAAAGAGAAGACGAGCTGCGCGGACGTACCTTCAATGCAGCCGTTTGTGCAACTTGTCAGAGGCTCGATGCTGCCGCACCATTTCTTGGTACTGGCTTCGAAAAATCGATCTCTATGATTGGGTAGCAGGAGGAATTTGTTCTATATTTTATGTCACTCCAACTTTTTTACTCGATCCAATGCCTGAACCGCTGGAGCACTGGTAGTTTGTTAGCTATTGATATGCAGTTATACTTGTGGAGGGTGTCAATATGCTATGAGATATTTCATGTAGAGTTCAGCAACAAAGCAAAGCATGGACAGCTAATGAGTATGTATAGCCGGTAAGATAGCATGCAGATGTGAACCAAGCCATGCAGTGTTTTGACATTATACAGTTTCATGTGGATATCTTTATCTTCTTTACCTTTATATAAGATTTTATAGTCTAAAAAGTGTCCGACCGTCCGCTAGAACCTTTTGAATTGGTTAAAAAGATAAACCTCTTAAGCTTCAACACGGGTTTGAGTGACTTGCTCTGTAAACTCCCTTTGATCTTGTGCGGCATCTGACCTCATCGGTGAAACCAGGGCGACAAGTTGTTATTGTAGTGGTCACAGGTCTCCACTAGATATCTCCATTGGTTCAGCGCAAGAGCTGCTCTCATTGTCGGTCAGCCCGATAACTTCCATGGCGTCATCATGGTGGTCATCACCAGCTGCGCAACACTCTTAGGATATTTGTTTATGAGCACCTATTGAATAAGGCCATATATCTCTTCTGGTGGTTATGCAATATTTGTAGGTTAATTTTATAAATTAATTTATCTTATGAACACATATATGGTAGCATTTGGGCCACAATGGACCCAGTATGTATAGACTGATTCAAGAGACTGTATCAGTGCTAAGGGCCCCAAGAACCATGCAAGCCAGATCATTTTTAATAAAAAGTTCTTAATGCTATGCATCTGCAATACAGCAAAACTGAACAGCATCATTTCTCTTCTTACTTTGCCTATTGAATTTCTCAAATGAATATTACCCACAGCACTACTGTCATAAAGACATCACTTGGTGGTATTGGCTTCCGTGATTCTATGTTGCCCCGCCTAGAGCAATTTGTACACAGCGTCAATATCATCAAGGAGCATACATACATGCTTGCACAATGGATATTACTCCATCAACTAGCTGATGATGATGCCTTTGACCCTGCAACATTTGTGAAAAAGGGGTTTTTTTCGTTCCATTTATTTATTTATTTATCGCAACCTGAAGGCGAAGACTGTCATATCTGCCGAGGATTTCGTCAACCGGAAGGACCGGCCAGAACTGTCGAGCGCAGATTTCGGTGATGTAATTAGATATCATATTTATGAGTATCTATTACATAATGGCGATATCGAGCTACATGGCGTACGTGAAATGAATCAAGTAGCAACATACGTGGATACCGAGCTGATGACAGCATACAAGAACAACATTGTGTTGCACTATGGCAGTTGCCTACAGCGGATTCTGGCCAAATTGATTGGTATTCGCAGCCGCAAAAACACACTGCACAGTACATTTGGCAATGTGTCCAAGGCTGAGTTCAATAACGCATGTCAAGTGTGTATTTATACACCTGCACAGAAGCTCCGCCAGGCAGTTGCCTCTAGACACCCTGATCTCAGTGTACTCACCCCACGGATGCTTGCAATCTACAACAAGCTGGCACCAGTCCTTAATGCCTATGATGCCAAGTACAGATTCGCCAAAGACAGCCGATACTATGATGCCAAGGTAAATCCACTTAAGCATCTGCGTGCATACATTCGCCTATGCCAGCTTATCGATAATGAGCAGCTTGGCAAGTCTCCCCCCAATGCTTACCTCTGCGGACATCATGGATCCCAGGCCATGTGCGCTTAGACAAGCAAACAATCAAGCAGATGTTTATCTCGAAAACATGTGGGCAGGTTACAGAGATCAACGCAGCAAAGAGGGAAGCAACAGAAGCAAGGAAAGCAGCAGAAAAGGGCGAAAAATTGGCCAAGAAGGCTACACGCGAAGCAGCGAAGATGCCATCAGATGCAACTGAGGCCACTGCAGCAGACATTCCGGCATGTTCCCAACCTGCGGCCCTACCAGAGATCGAAGAACCCAACTGTGAAGTGCCATGGCCTTCTCCGCTGTACAAGCGAGTCATGTAAGTGGGCCATGGCGCAATACAGGCGAGTTTATTCGTCTCGGCTCTTGAACTGCGATCTCGCAGCAGTTCTAAACTTCAGGCTCATTTTCCAGTCACTCTGTGATTCAGGCAGTATTCCTGAACGGTTCCGTCGCTCTATGGCCATTGCTACCGATGCTTCTGGCACCACCCTGGCAACAAAGAGGTCGCGCAAGAGGCGTGCAACATCAGGCGATTCTGCTGCCAGCAGCAGCGAGCCAGCGCTGAAGCGCCTACGCTGAGCAGGCCACCAAGGTGGGAGATGTCCATGATCGCCATTGCACTAACAACCATCCGACACGTTCAAATGACCAGTTCGCCATGATGCTCTTATCGACGTGTCAACCCAAGCTGACTAGCAGCCGAGCTCGCATCGCGAGCAGAGCAATTCTAGTACAGTATTGATTCATAATGAACCTGCTTCCTAGCGCGAGCGGGTTGCCGGCTATAGCAGTTCGGCAAGAGAAGGCGACCCAAGCCCCTTTGCCTGGAGCTGCCATCAAAACTGTGCTGTCAGTGCCAGGCTACCCCGTCTGACTGCTGGATTTGTGATTATTTGTAGCCATTTATCTGTTGCCTCCCCGAATAGCACAATGGTTGGTACCAATGTGAACCACCCTAAAAGCCTTAATCCCGATCAACACTTCCCGCTTGAAAGGATGATCCAATCAGACAATCGCATGGAA